ACGCTCATAACTGTGCCTGATCTACAACTGGGAACTGCTGCTTTTTCTTTCCTGATGCTTACTATTGTCATTTTTCTCTACTGTTTGTCACTCTCTTTTGACCTGCTATTTCCGGGGTGCCTTGATAGCTGAAGCAGACCTTAAGCTGTTGAAGCTAGAGAGGTGAGCAGAGGAAGTCTGATTCCCTGTAAAGGCTTCTCTGTTGACACCCACCCCTTGGAGCTCATATGGCCTTACGCAGTTGCGAGCGCCGTAAAACCCTCTACTATAATAAAATAGTTTGGTTAAACTGAATTCATAATTGCAGTGAATCAAATATATTGCTTTTACTGAATTTAGTATCGCACTGAATACAATGTAGACACACTTGATCCGTCGAGTTGGGAGATACTCCAAGAACAATGATGAACAAACTAGACGCTCACTTGTCAGACTCGAACCCGAAGCGTCCTCGTGTTAAACTTTTACGTAATCGACATCAGGAGGCACAATGATAAGTGATATTGTAACTAAGCAGCGTCACTGAAATAAATGGTAAACTACATAACAGATGTGGCTTTTAATTAACAAGTCAAGGCACCCACCATTATCCAGGCGTTTTGTTGGTAGACTTCCGAAGAAAGAAAACGTCTTTGATGGAGACGAGACCGAGACCCACCAGAATGGATGCACGGTATTATGGCCCCCCTGTCTTTTATACAAACGAATTTTTTGCATAAATTCCCCCCAAAGTCTCTTTGTATTGGCCTGTTCAGTCCCCCCGATGCTAAAACCCGAGGTCCACTTCCTGAGGTCAAATCCGTGCGCTATTAAACGTTTTACGGTACGCCTCGCTCGGGCCTCAACAGCCCGGGGCCTTCGCTTCAGACGCCCGAAAGCTCTTGCCACAAAATTTTTGTTACTCATAATATCGAGGCGATTGGTGAGCCCCCCTTCTGGTGTCGTGAATTTTTCCGCCTCGAAGTTTTACACTTGAATCGTGAGAGCTGGACAGACCTAGCGACGTCGTAAAGATGAACTTGCCGCCCACAACGCACCACGTCTGGAGTCGGTCTGTACGAGCTCTACGGAAAAGTTACACAAGCTAGTCGCCGTTGTGGGTACCTCAGAAAGTGAGATAGGTTTTAAGGTGAAAGGTGGAGGGATTTCAGGGCTGTAAATCCTTTCTTTCTTTCTTTCTTTTCCTGTCCATCTGGTGTTATTTCCGTCTGTCGTCTTTGTCATTTCCTCGTAATGAATTCCATAATTATTTGGTCGATTTGCTTCCGTTTGGCTCTAGCAAGTACCTTAATGTGCATGCGAGATGTTAAACAATTGTTGTTATTTTTGTTGCTGTTGATGTTGAAGAAGAAGAAGAAGAAGAAGAAGAAGAAGAAGAAGAAGAAGAAGAAGAAGA